AGAGTGTGACATGTCCAAGGGCATGTTTATGGTTAAACTAGAGGTCAGGTGCATGAATTCATACACGGGTGGGGACCAGGGGGCTCACCCTGATGGGGTCCCATCAGACGGGGCCAGCCATGGGGTCTATTGCTGGAAGCTACAGCTTCCCCCCAGCTGGATCTAATTATACTTTAAGGATGGCCAAAAGAAAACCCACAACAGAACTGTCTTGCATTTCACGTGCCATGAGATGAAGTTGTTTATGTGTTGTTTGCAAATGTATATCAAGATGGATGATGGCCCTTTAATGATTTTTGCATTCTTATTGGGCTTCTGCCCTCAGTTTCCCAATATGATCTTCATGTCTGTTTGTTTAAAAGTTTTTTCTGTTTTTATGCATACCCTTCACTGTTACTCCTGGTAACCTGCGGGTCCTCTTCGCCGCCACTTTTAAAGAGAGGTTGAAATCTCACCTAATCTGCAAGGTGCAGCAATTTCACAAAATCCCCACCCAAACTCTCTACATTGCTCAGCAAAGGGTCGCTATCCTGTTAATGCTTAGGTCACCTTTTTGGCTAACTTGGAAGGTCTCCTGAGGCTGCGGGCCATGGATGGAGAAATCCACACCTTGGCTGCAGGGTTTGCAGAGCCCTCTGGAGACTCTGGTCGAGGACAGAAGGGACTGGTAATTATTTTCTTGTGCTTTCACTACATGTACACGCTCCAGGGAGTCAGGCAGTGATTTAGGGGGTTGGGGGCCAATCAGGGCCGGAGCCGGCCAGGGCGAGGGGATGAGGTCCTTCAGGTCATTCTGTTGTTTTGTCACTGGGCTTTTATTATATAGGATACTTCCCCACATCTGGGCCTGTGCATTTCCCTCTGAATCCAACTGCTCCAGGTCACCTGTACAAAAAAGAGAAGGACTGAAAATCTTGGATTCCTATGACAATCACCGGTAATGACAACCAAGAGAAATTAGCCTTCAAATCTGATAACCAAATGTTCAGGAGATTTATGTTCAGGAGATGGGAAGTTCCATCTGACACCATTTCCCCTAAAAAGTGAACAGAGGGTAAACTCAGGACATAGTGTGAGATTGGAGCCATGGACCAAGTACGCAGGGAGAGACTATCATCTGGGTGGGTCTCTAGGAGCCAGAAGCATGAACTATAGAGACACAGACAGAGCTCCAGGGTCTATTCCTTCAGGGGAGTTTGGTGCTAGATGTGTAGCAGCTGCAGTGCCTCCTTTTTGTTGTTTATTCTCTAGACTCTGTTGTAGATCCAGTTTCATACATTGGGATATAGAAGAATCTCCGTCATGACCAGGTGTGTTTATGGGAAGATGTGGGCAATGATTTAGGAATAATTAAGTTTAGGTCAGGATAATGTTACTGGAAACCTCAATGTCTGCAGGTGACCTTTGGGACTCCTGTCACCATGTTTGGGCTCAGCTTCAGGTTTTATGTCTGTGATCTGTCCTGCAGTGTCCACAAATGAATGGACCTGTGAGAGGGGTGATGGTGGATGAAGAGGGGCAGGTGGGTTTTTACAGGGTTTTCTCTGCTCTTGACACTTTGGGAGGAACTGGGGAGAGTCAGCAGGGCTCTGGCCAGGGAGCTCTGGGTCTTGGACAAATCTAGGTAGGATGTGGACAGTGGAAGGCAGCTTGGGAGTTTTCACTTCTATTGAATTTTTTGGGAATATTTTGAGAGGAATAAGGGTTCAGTCTCTTTTGAATGTCTGGTGAGATTCACCTGTGAAGTAATCTGGTCCAGGACTTTTGTTTGCTGGGAGGTTTTTCATTCCTGCTTCAATTTCATTCAGTTGATTTGGTCTATTTAGATCTTCTGACTCTTCCTCATTCAGTTTTGAAAGCATATATGTTTATAGGAATTTATCCATTTTTCCCAGGTTGTCCATTATATTGGTATACAGTTGTTCATTGTAGTTTATTACAATCCTTTGTTTTTCTCTGGTGTTAGTTGCTACTTCTCTTTTATTTTATTTATTTGTGTCATCTCTCTTTATTTCTTGATAAGACTATTTAAAAGTACATCAATCTAGTCTATCTTTTTAAATAACCAGCTCTTCTGTTCCAGTCCATTGGCTATATGACTGTTCTTTTGCCAGTACCAGGCTGCTTTGGTTATAATGGCTTTGTGGTATAGTTTGATATAAGGTATTGTGATCCCTCCTCCTTCATCCTTTTTTCTCAAGATCACTGCAGCTATTCAGGATCTTTAACATTTAATAATGTTAACTCTTCCAATCGATGAACATTGAATACACTTCGATTTGTTTGTGTCTTCCTCTATTTCTTTTTTCAGTGTCCTATAATTTTCCAAGTACAGGTCTTTTACCTCCTGGGTTAAATTTATTTCCAGGTATCTTATTTTTTTGTTACAATGGTAAATGGGATTGACTTTTTAGTTTCTCTTTCTGAGAGTTCATTATTGGTGTATAAAAATGCCATTGATTTCTGGATGTTGATTTTGTATTCTGCTACCTTGATGAACTCATTTATTAAGTCTAGTAGTTGCCTGCTGGAGTCTTTAGGGTTTTCTATGGACAATATCATGTCATCTGCAAATAATGACAGTTTTACTTCCTCCTTTCCAATTTGGATTCCTTTCCTATCTTCTTCTTGTCTGATCACTGTGGCTAGGACTTCCAGTACTATGTTGAATAAGTTTGGTGAAAGTGTACATCCTTGTCTTGTTCCTGTTCTTAAGAGAAACACTTTTAGTTTTTGAACAAATGTTTTTACTTTTATTAAAGATCAATTCATCTGAATTTTCTTTGATGCCATCTGTTTTGGGTGACACAACAGAGAACTCCCCAGAAAATGCTGAGCCTCCACTATCCATTTGGATTGGCCACAGCAGTTACAAGGACTGGAGTAGGTTCTGGTACCAGAGGAGAGCGCTGCTGGGAAACTACCCATAAATCTGGATGTGACTGTGGAACTGGGTGAGGGGTGGAATCTGGAGTTATGTTAAGTCACATGAAAGAAATATGCCTAATTTTCATGGACAGAGAGTTACTATACATAGGTTTGAAAGCCTCCTCCTGTGAAAGCCCCGAAGGAAGTACAGGGCATGATAGAAACATCATCGTAGGATGTACCTGAATAATGATTGAGATAGGGATTTGGTCTAATGAAATGATGACTCCTCACACAGACGCACCAACACCATGGCTCCTCCAGTGAGGGGTGTTAGAGTAAAAATCATTAAAGATCATGCAGACAGGGATCAAGAGAAATAAGGAACATGTCATTGCACACTGGTGGGAAAAGGATCCTTGTTTTCTACATGCATATCCTCACAGCGTCTCTGTTACAACTTTCCAGGTCCAGGGGATCTGCATTTGGACACCTTTGGGGTCATTATTGATCTGGTCTCAGTCTGAATCACCAAGCTGCATAATTCATTGGAGTGCCATTTATGAAATCCGTCAACACTTATAGGGAAGGGTGGATACCCCTCACTGGAGGAGCCATGGTGATGGTGCGTCTGTGTGAGGAGTCATCATTTCATTAGACCAAATCCCTATCTCATTTGGTAGTCATCATCTTTTATTATGTGTATGTGTGTGTGTGTGTGTGATTCTTTTTCCACAAAATATCTATTGTTTGAAATTTACATAAGTTCCTACTCTCCCCTATTGAGCATCATCTTCATCATCATCATCATCACCATCATCACCATTTGCTTACTTATAATCTTTCTTCTCATTTTCTATAGACATTGTGGTTTTCCAACACAACTTCTTATAGGAAAAGAAAGCAGGTGTCTTCTTTTTGGATGTCATTGTGAAATTGAAACACCAAAGAGCCAACTCTAAGTTGACAGAAGGCCTTCTAATAACTGGTGACCTTGGATGACATTGGACCATGATGTCTGTCCAATTCTATCGTCACCATCACCAGCTTCATCACCATCATCACCACCATCATCAGCAGCAGCATCCTCAATCATCCTCATTTGCTTACTTAGAATTATGGAATTCTTCCCATTTCCTGTAGACTTGGTTTTCAAACACACTTAATGACACTTTATCTCAAGTTTTGCACATTTTGTATAGTTGTTAAGTAAAAAGGTAGCCATACTCTATTTTATTTTTGTTTCACTGCTGACAACTGATGGCTTATTCTTGCCTCTTCTACATCTGCCACGTTGGAGGAAGCTGATGAGAAACCATGGTTTTGTCTTTAGATGTCCTTGGGAGATGCAAACCACTCAAGCCCCTGAAAGCAGAATCCCCTCCCCCCCCTTGACCTCACAAGATAAAAGCCCCAAGCCAATTGCCTTCCCTGGCTCCATGAAACCAGGTCTGTCTTATGAAGTGCCTTTCCTGTGCTTCCCAGAGATTTCAAGTATGTGCACAATAAACATTCCCTGTCCCTGGGGTCTGTGTTTGTCATCAGCCTGGTCATCTGTACCAAGCTGCTGTGGGAACCTCTGCCTCTGCCTGGTGTCACCTACTCTAAGTGCTATGAGCATGATGTCAAGTCAATGACCTTCACTACCTGGGTCCTTCTTTCACTTTGGGGTCACAAGACTCTGGTGTCCGCAGGCAGCACATATGTGTCCTGCTGCTGACTGACTGGTCCCTGAGCTGTGTGGAGCTGAGCTGCACTGTTGAGTCTGCAGAGACTTTTGGTTGGTTTAGCTGACTTGGGCAGATTTGATCATTATTTGGTACTTGGCATAAAAGTGTCTGAAAGAGACTCTCTGCCAGTTGTCCACGTGAGAAAGTTGTCTTTGTTTACAACAGACTTTCTAACTCAGAGATGTCAGAGGTTACTGCAGAGTCAGGAATCCAGAGGTTCCCTGAGGGAAACTATGACATGGAGAGGTTACCACATTGGAAACCAACCCAAACCTCCAATTTCACCAGCTGCTGGGATGGTCTTTGTGTTCAGGGACCCTGAGCGCCCCCTGGTGGTTACAGCTTCTTCTGCAGGGAGGTTTGTGTCAGGGCTCACACTGACTTCCCCTCACTGTGTTTTGCACAGTAATACATGGACGTGTCCTTGGCTGTCAAGCTCTTCATTTGCAGATACAGCGTATTCTTGGCGTTGTCTCTGGAGATGGTGAATCGGCCTTTTACAGAGTCTGCATAGTTTGTGGTACCAGCATCAGTACTAATTATACCCAACCACTCAAACCCTTTCCCTGGAGCCTGGCGGACCCAGCTCATCCAGTAGCTACTGAAGTTGAATCCAGAGGCTGCACAGGAGAGTCTCAGAGACCCTCCAGGCTGTACTAAACCTCCTCCAGACTCCACCAGGTGCACCTCACACTGGACACCTGTAAACACAAAGACATCCTGGTCAGGAAACTCTCACACATCCACTGTTTCTCTCATTCATGTTCACTCACATACACAGTGTCTCTTGTTCTCCACAAATTACCTCTTAAAAGAGCCACAAGGAAAATCCAGCTGAGCCCAAAGCCCATGGTGAGTGCTCTATTTTTGGTCCTGATCAGGGAGTGGGAACACCTGGGTATCCCGGGCTGGGCTCCTGTCCCAGAGCTGCATGGTCAGGGCTGGGCTGGTTTTTATGAGAAGAGAAGGCCCTATTTGCATGTCCTCCTGCTATATAGGGAGCTCTGGGTTGGACACTGATATAAAGGACATGGTCCCTGCGTGTAACATGTCCACTAGTGCTCATTCACTGGTGCATGCCTGTTAAGAATTACTCCCTACTTCTGGACCTGTGCCCTCTCCCAGTTTACCCAACTGCTGCAGCAGACCTGTATAAAGTCCCAGGAGAGAACATTTTAATAAAAAGAAAAAGAAGAGGTTTAAAATTAGAGATGCCTTTGACTTTCACCAGTAATTACAACCAAGAGAAATCAACCCTCACAATCTGAGAAAGAGGTAAAAGTGCAAGAAGTTCATGATCAGGAGATGGGAAGTTCCATCTGACACTATTTCCCCTACAAAGTGATCAGAGGATAAACTAAGACCAGAGTGTGATCCTAAAGCCAGTGAACCAAGTGTTGGGGGGAGAGAGGAGCATCTGTGTGGGTCCCTGGGAACCAGATGCATGAACTATAGAGAAACAGACAGAGCTCCCGGGTACTATTCCTTCAGGGGAGTTTGGTGCTGGATATGTAGCATCTGTATGACCTCCTTTGTGGTATTTATTCTCTAGACTCTGTTGTAGATCCAGTTTCATACATTGGGATATAGAAGAATCTCCATCATGACCAGCTGTTTTTAGTGGAAGATGTGGGTAATTATTTATGAATAAATAAGTTTAGGTCAGAAAAATGTTGATAATGGAAAGCTCGATGTCTGCATATGACCCTTGGGACCCCTGGAACCATGTCCTGGCTCAGCTTCAGGTCTCCTATCTGTAACCTGTCCTGGGGTGTATACAGGTGGATGGACCTGTGAGAGGGATGCTGGTGGATGAAGGGGGTGCAGGTAGGTTTTTACAGGTTCTGCTCTGTCCTTGACCCTGTGGAAGGAGTTGGGGAGAGTCAGCAGGGCTCTGGCCATGGAGCTCAGGTTCTGGGACAGATCTAGGGAGGATGTGGACAGTGGAAGGCAGAGGGTGATCTTGGGGCAGTTGTCCTGGATACTGGAGGGACAACTTGGGGTGGGTGTAGACCAGGACTCTGACCAGCTGGTTCTCATGATCCATGTGGATTGCCAATGTGGAAGCTGAGACACATGTCAGAGCAGAGCCCAGATGGATCTCAGGAACCCGCACAGAGGGCTGCCCAGCAGGCGGTGGAGGGTTTCATCTCTGGGCTCCTCTCCCCCTCTGCTCCATGTGGAATTCTGAGAGCTGAGTCAGGTCCTCCTTTGGGCTGGTACTGGTCCAGGAGACTGAACGGTGGGGAGAGTGGGGGGGAAACCCTGGCCATCACCCTCATCCTGAGTGCCTGCCGAGCCAGATGGTGCACTACCCCATGGAGAAGAGACTTCCTGGGCAGTTGTCCGGGCAGCTCCCGGTGGCAGATCTGTGCCTTTCTGAGGGAGGGGGGCCCTGGGCAGATCTGTGCCTGTCTGAGGGAGGGGGGCCCTGGGGCAGATGAGGGCTTGTCTAGAGCAGAAAGAATGAGGTCAGACAAAGGGTGTGACTTCGCTGATGTTTCTCTTTGTGGAAACTGCATCCCTCCACCAAGGATGGAGAGGTGCCCTGTGTGCTCAGTGTGTCTGAGAGAAGGGAACCTACTGAAAGAATGGTCCCTGAGCCTGGAAAGAGCTCATCTAGGAAAAGAGAATGGTGTTTGAACCATCATTGTCCTCAGTGAGAATGTGGGCACTTAGAGCAAAGCTGACAAGGGGAGCGTGTCCCTGAGCCACTAAACAGCAAGTAGAGAAGGGAAACCGGACCACAAGAGGCAAATGGTCCTCAGCCCCTTATATTGCCTGTTCACAGATACATCCCCTGACTGCCTGAGCACCCCTGCTGGTCCTGAGCTCTCTGTGGTGTCCAGAGCGCCCCCTGGTGCCCGCCCCCTCCTGGCCGACCTGTGCATCTCCTGCAGCTCAACCCCTCATTCTCCCTGCAGGGAGGTCTGTGGCTCAAACAGACCTGCAGGTCAGACAGAGGGCACATGTCCAGTATTTCTCTCAGGCATATTCATTCACATACTCAGTGTCTCACATTCTCCATAAATTGTCTTTTAAAATAGCAGCAAGGAAAGCCAGCTGATCCAAACTCCATGGTGAGTGGTCTGTGTTTACTCTTGATCAGGGAATGGGATCACCTGGGATCCTGGGTCTGGGGTGTAATTCACGAGCAAAGTGGGGCCTAGTGGCATGTCCTCCTACTATATAGGGAGCTCTGGGGTTGGACACTGGCATACAGGATGCCATTGCAGAGTGTGGTGTGTACAAGGGCACTCATGGCTGAGGAGCATTATCCCTGGTACCTGGGTCTCTGCTCCTCCCAATTGGGCCCAACTGCTTCCCTGAATCAACTCCTGATCTGTGGGCATTCCCGGGGAGGGCTCATTACTGCCTGGCTGGATAAGATCGTGTAATAATCCAGCATGAAAATTAATGTAATAGAAAAATAGGAGAAATGGTAGAGATTTCAACATGATACCTTGGAAGTTTACCTGTATTAACATAGTGAGGTGATCACCCATCACAACCAGAGGGAGATTAAAGTTACACCCTATGCCTTATTTCAAATAAAGTGATCAGAGGATAAACTAAGAACAGACCTTCAACCTACAGCTAGTGGACCAAGTGTTGGGGGGATATTGGAGCATCTGTGTGGATCATTGGGAAACAGAAGCATGAACTATAGAGACAGTAAATCCAGTTTCAAAGAATTGGGATATAGATGAAACTCAATCAAAACTAAGATATTTTTTATGACAATGTGGATAAAAATGTAGGAATAGCTAAGTTTAGGTTATGAAAATTTTGTTATTGGAAACCTGACATTGCATATGACCCTTGGTACCAATGTGACTGTATCCCCATATAATGGGGGTCAACTGGAACCTGCACCTGACTCAGTGCCACATTGCGGGGGGAGGGGGAGCTCCCTGAGAACATGATGGGGGATTAACCAGGACTGAGGACTCACACATTCAGGGTTCTTGTTTCATTACATTGTCATCTCCTTGTGGTTAAGCCCATTCAAATTTTCAAGTTTTCTTTCCTCACTTTCTCTGAAACAGCCCCGCATATTTCCTAGTGTCATAAAGACACTTTGTTGAGAGTGTTCAGGGGAACAAGCCATTTGTGTTGGTTTTGTACCTTACATCTTTCAGGAGTTACCTTTCTAATTCTATCAATTTTCTTGTGAAGTCTTCAGGGTTTTCTATATCTAAGATCATGTCATATCCATAGAGATAAAGAGAGACAATTTATGGGCTCCTTTCTGATTTACAGACTCTTTATTTCTTTTTCTTGCCACATTACTCTGACAAGGACTTCCAGTTTTGTTAAATAGAGGTAGTCACTAGGGTGCCTTCGTCTTGGTCCTGATGTTAGAAGAATTGTTTTGAAATTTTCTCTATGTAGCATAATTTTACCATTTTTTCTATTGAAATGCAGCATGCATTATGTTGAGGTACACCACTTCTATACTAAATTTATTGAGAATTTTTATCATAAAGGTGTTTTAACATATTCAATGGCCTTTTTATATCTTTTTTTATATGAAAATACAGTTTTCTCCTTTATTCTGTGGATGGGTGTATCCAGGTTACTGATTTATAAAGGTTGAACTATCCTTGCATTCTAGGACAATATCCCACTTGATGATGGTAAATGATCTTTTCAAGATGTTAAATTTTATCTTATACTAGAGGCCCAGTGCATGACATTGCTGTACTGAGGGGGCGGGGGGTCCCCTCAGCCTGGCCTGTGCCCTCTTGCAGTCTAGGAACCCTTTGGGGATGTTCAACTGCCGACTTAGGCCCACCACCGCTGCTGCGCTCATTAGCCATGAGGCCAGCTTCTGGCTGAGTGGAGCTCTCTGTGTGGGAGTGCACTGACTACCAGGGGGCAGCTCCTGCATTGAGTGTCTGCCCACTGGTGGTAAGTGTGTGTCATAGCCACCATTCTTTCCGCCATTTGATCAATTTACGTATTAGGATTTTATTACTTATACTAGTGGCCCGGTGCACAAAATTTGTGCATGGAGGAGGGGTTGTTCCTCAGCCTGGCCTGCACCTTCTCCAATCTGGGTCCCATCGAAGGATGTCCTACTGCCGGTTTACAGGTATCGGGCCTAAACCGGCAGCTG